ACAGAAGGTGTAGGTTTTTTTTTTTAAATATAACTTCCCTCCCTCTATCATTCTACAAAGATTTAATGAGTCAAGGCCCTGAGGACATGTCTACACTAGAAGACATTGACCCTCTGGAGGTTGATTGTTTAGCATTTGATTTAGCAGGTCTAATGTAGACCTACAAATCGAACACTTGAGAGCAGCCCCCACTGGCATCTGGTAAAGGTGTAGGTTTTTTTTTTTAAATATAACTTCCCTCCCTCTATCATTCTACAAAGATTTAATGAGTCAAGGCCCTGAGGACATGTCTACACTAGAAGACATTGACCCTCTGGAGGTTGATTGTTTAGCATTTGATTTAGCAGGTCTAATGTAGACCTACAAATCGAACACTTGAGAGCAGCCCCCACTGGCATCTGGTATGCTTCAATCTGCAAAGAGCAAAGGAAGCTGCCTCCTGCTCTGTGGATTCCACCATGGCTCAACTAAAGGTAAGCTAGTGCCAACTATGCTTTATGCATAGCTGGAGCTGTGTACCTGCAGACTGTGTCTACACAGGGAATATGTCTGCGTTTTCGGAACAGTTTCCAAAAAAGTGGGCATATTCTTTTGGCAGCCCTGTATTCTTCATTTTATGAGAAATAAGTGCTCTTCTGAAAGAGATTTTTCCCATATTTGGCCCCATGTAGACCGGCCAAATGTCAGAAAAGCCTCTTCCGAAAAAATAGGAAAAAGGTCTAGACAAAGCCTAACATGACCTACCTGGGCCTAGAGTAGATCAAGCCTTACTTATCCAGACTCATAGAAATTCCATTTAGTAGTATAGACTTTTCACTGAAAAGGTGAAAAGGTACTCTTCAGCATTTACTGATAACCTCCCAGCTGTAATTAAATCTTAATGAATCCATTTTGTTCTGTAGACTAAAAATTGAGAGGATGTTTATTAGAATTCTTGAGAGAGCATTTTGGAAGTAGTCTCTTTGAGTTCTTTAGAAGGGATGTTGAATCCCACTTTAGCAACAGGTTTGAGTCTACCTCTAAAGATTGTAATCTAAGTAATGGAAAGCAAAGAAATGGCGAAGACACCTCTAGGGATCATATTTTCCTTTTTAGAGCCCACAAAGTATAATTGGCCAACCTCGTTTTACAGCAACATGTCAATAGCATCCGCAGTAAAATAGTGAAGACAACTTAACGTAGGACATCAAAAGCCTGAAGGCATTAAAGTTGGCAGTTGCACCTGAAAATATTTGATATTTAGGTTTTCTAAAATGCCTTTTACAGTTCAAGTAGGCATTCTTTGAAAGATGTAGAAGATAGATTCTGCCTATTTCATACAAGTTCTTGTTCCTATTTAATGTCTGTTTCCACTTCTAGCAGATGTAGCCATGGAAAGATGACAATGCATAAAATAAACTCACCCCAAACAATAGGAAACCCTTAAAGATATATGTGGGAGAACATGGAGATGAAATAAGGATGAAAGACTACTGTAAACTTGGTCTGGGAATTAAGTGCAATATAGTGTAACTGTTCAACACACTGAAGTGAGAGGAGGTATCTAGTCAGTAATCCATGAACTTTAATGTTACTCAAGTTCTTCAGAGTAAGTCAAGAAAATAATCTCTCCTCTAATGGTAATACAATACAAATTTATAGAACTATACACCTAAGACAAACTGAAAATCTAGGACTGTCGAAGAAAGGAGATGCTATTATGTAAAATAGTGAATGGCTGTGTATACTTACAGGAAATCACAAGACATCAGAAATCTGGTAACTGTAGGAGGAGTCAGAGCTCTCCATTTTTAAAAATAGGAATATGCACAAGGCCAGTAAAATGGTATCTTTTATTGGACTGGCTTCTGTTGATGGAAGATGCAAGCTTTCAAGCTACATCAAGCTCTTCTTTAAATTCTGAATATGATTATAACACCACTGCAAACAACTCTAGAAGATACTGTACTTCAATATCAAGTCTACTTTTCTTTGGCATTAGGTCCCTGCATTGCTTTACATTTATCATTCTAAACTATATTTCTGTTAGAGATCCTATGTTTATGTTTATTCCTATTTTAAAACGTCTTATAAAATAAAGTCGTATAAATTATTTTCTAAGCTTCCCTATTGGTATTTCAGAGTCTTTTCAGCAACAGACTATACATAATGTGCTGTCACATGAAAGAAAAAACATTCAACAAATAGAGATCCTGTTGCTAATATCTATATGATCACTAAATTTTCAGTGAAGGACTATTTTCAAGATGACTGTGTGAAATGTGTGGTTGTTTAATCAGGAAGGACTCTGGAGTATATTATATGCCATCCTCTACTTGGCTCAAAGGCTGCTGATCTAACAATGAGGACATTAGGTCAGAGGACTAGCCCTACAAGTTGTCCTGAAACTGTTTAAGGCAGGAGTGGGCTAATAGTGGTCCAAGGGCCAGACATGGTTCATCAGGATTAGCCCCTGGTGGACCACCAGGCATTTTGTTTACCGTAGCATCCTCAGGCATGGCTGCTCACAGCACCCATTGGCTGTAGTTCCCATTCCTGGCCATCAGACGCTGTGAGTGGCCGTACCTGCAGATGCTCAGGTAAACCAAGTGCCCCTCTGGGGACTAACTCTGATGAACTGTGCCCATCCCTGATCTAAAGGTAGGGTGGATGCTTAAAGGAAGAGGCAAAGACAGAATACAAATGAATCAATGATATCAAAGATAGGCTACCAGATTTACCTCTGTCACTGCCAACTGGGTAGAACAGCTGTTTGTAGGTGCAGGCTCTCACCCAGTAGGAATTCACTTTTGGAAGCCAAAAGAGAAGTAAAACAACTACATTTAGGACTCCCTCACAAAGTACCACCATAGTTTCATCTACTTCTGCTGAACTGAGATGTACATATGACTGGAGAAGCTTCCAGTGTCTGGTTAAGCTATATTCCACTTGGGTCATTTCCTTGGTATAGTGGAACCTAAGAGTTATGGACACCAGAGTTACAAATTGACCAATCAGTCCCACACATCATTTGGAACCAGAAATGTGCAACCAGGCAGCAACAGACATACAAAAAGCAAATAAAATATAGTACTGAGTCAGACTGTTAACTACCTTTTAAAAAGTTAACCAATTAAATGCTTTTTTAACCAGTTTACCATGGCGTAGCCCTCTGCCCGCAGTGCACGGTGGTGAGCCCAGCCAGAGCAGCCCCACCGCACGGCAGCTGGAGAGGCTGGGCTGGGCCCACTGCGCTACAGAGCAGGGGCGTGCTGGGCTGGAGCAACTCACACCTGGCTAGGCTGCCAGTTACCCTTTTGTATTCCTAGTAGTAGGTTAAATGTAAACTCAAACTAAGCAGCAGTATTTTTCTTCAGCCTAGTAAAGTTTTAAAGTTGTATTAAATCAATGTTCAGCTGTAAACTTCTGAAAGAACCACCATGAAGTTTTGTTCAGTGTTATGAACAAGTCAGTGTCAGAAACAACTTTCATTCCCAAGGTGCTCATAACTGAGGTTCTACTGTACTAAATTCTCTGGATGCTGCCTTGTCCCATTGGAAGAACCACACTAGGGAGCAAAAGGGCAAGTAGTCTCCATAATGTTTCCCTTGTGGAATTTTCTGCCCAGTGCATGGATTTTCAGGCTGGGCTTGCTGTCCACATGAAAGACTGCAGGAACTGCCTCCCAAATCCTCAGTTCTGAGACAATCAGGAAATTAAGTCCATCTTCATAGAGGACCTGTGCCTCTGGCCACGCCACTAGTAGTATTAGGGCTGTCACTGCCAGTGGCGCTCAGAAATCCCTTATATATAGTCTTTGGGAAGGATCCAACCTGCTATCTGTTCCCCTCCACTGCATAGATCCCCAGACATATAGAGAGTTAATGTCTGGCTGAAAAGGTAGAAATAAGAGAATGCTGACACAGATTGTCTAAGCCTACTTTTCCTGCGGCAGGGAGGATCCATAGATCTCAATGGAATGGTCTAACTTTACAAGATAAGAAAATTGTCCACCGATTGCTTTTGCTGCCTCTGAAATTTGCTTAGTTACTAAACAAACTGTCCTCAACCAATGAAGGTATTTTTTAGGGCAGCAAAGAAAGGAAATTTCACTTACCTGCAGAAATATCTCATCTCCTAGACTGAAACTATCTGTACTGCCTGTATATCTCTGCTCGAGACATCCTATGTTCTCCCATGCAATCCTGCCTTCAAAACAGGAAATTAAAACAGCTCTGGAAAAAAAAAAGATTGTGCAGCACTTACTAAAAATCAACCATCAGTTCTAGAGTTAGGTGAATTCAGAAAACTCACTATAATATCCCAATCTTTTGAAATATTTTCCAATTTCCTCCAAAAAGGTGGAAAAATGGATCCATGTATCTCTCAGAACAGAACAATTTTGACCTTATGAAAATGTATGACATGCAGGATCTAAACCCAACCCCAGAGCTGAATGAACTTCAATTGTGCATAAATAAAAAATGCTCTTCTAGGATTTTTTATTATTAAACTTTTGTTAATTTTATCATCTCTTCTGGAGGCTCCTTCCCCCTCTATAAATCTTAGGTATCCATCCTTTGTCATCTCTTTATTTACTCTCTCACCATTAGGTAATTTCCTTCATGCCAGTGCAACTTCCTCATCAAATTCTCTTCAATCATATCTGCTTCTTTAGGACATTTCATCCTATGATCTTAGATCAACATCAAGCATCCAACTGATTTTCCCTGCTTTCTGTCACATACAAAATGTTCATTTTTATTTAGAAACCTTTGTACATCTAGAGATTTTATCTTACATCTGCCATGTAGAGAGGATAAAACATCTGTTCATAATTTTTTTCTCTTATTTAAAACCATTCCTCACCAAGACCGCATGTACCAAAAATCCCTCCCCAAACAAACAAAAAAACAACCTCAACTTCACATACCTCAAACTTCACATACCTCATAGACATTATCTTGTCTGAAAGAAACTGGTCATAATTTCCTTCCAAGGGTTTCAATGTTGCTCCTGAATTAAGTGGTTATAAAGGGATATTAAATAGCTCAAATGGGAATGATCCAAAATAATTTTTTTTTTAGTTCTGTACAACTGCTGACCCAGGAATTACTGGCTGGTCATATTTTGGGTCCATACCGAATTACTGCTGGTCATGTGAAGAGATTTATCAAGAGGGTCCGAAAGCAAAAGGATAGCACTTGTGGACTCTCACCTGTTTTCAAGCAGCACCATAAATCTTACAAGAGATTTGTTTATTAATTCAACTTTTATAAAACATGTGAAATACTTTTACATTTTTAATAAAATCAGATATGCTGGAAAAATCCATATATAAAAAATTAAACAATAATTAAATACCTAATTATCTCTTGAGCACAAAAGGTACAAACCAGGGTTACATATCTAACAGGTCCTGCCATCTTCATAAAAATGTATGTAAAATGTACTCTTCCAACAAAGTAAATGAGGCACTCTTGTTGTACCTTTGCATCCAGGATTTTCTTTAGTGGGGAAAGTAAGAATACAAAGAACCCTGTTTTGTATTCTGCTTTTCAATAAATTTCTAACTCAGTTCATTAAGAGTACAAGTAATGAAGACACCTAGCACAGTCATTCATAATCAGAATAATAAACTGAAACCATGAATTCTAACCTAAGAGCTTAGGAATTTCCATCGACTACTCGATTAGTTGATGGGGGGGCAAAGTGCTACCTATCCCAGCTGCAGCTCTGCAGTTTAAATGTAGTAGGAGCCAGGCATGCAGCAGCAGCCCAGCTCTTTATACTACATTTAAACTGCAGAGCCACAGTGGGTTAGCTCCTAGGGGTGGCGTGTGGCTCTGCATTTTAAATGTAGTAAGAGCCAACTGGGACTGCTTAGTCTTAACTAGACTCCTAAATCGAACTCGGGAAGATTGATTGTGGTAGCAGTGATCTTCCACAGCGTGAAGATGTGGCTTAGTGTTCAGAAAGACAGGAGTTTGCACACTTGTTATAAATAACCAAAACTGCACCTGATTACCACCAATTTGTACTCCTGCTTGGAACAGGTCCCTACCTTTGATTAGCCACTCGGGTCAAAAAGAGGTGACAATATCGATTTTTGTGCATGACACCATTTAACAGGACATGGAATGGCTGCTGCAGAATATTTATCGGCCAGCCTTGGTTGTATTGAGAAGTATATTTTGTTCTATGGAGGCAGCCATGCTGAGTTCTGAAGACAATGATTCAGATCCTCAGCTGACATAAATTGTCTTAGCTCCACATTCAACTGGCCACATTTTTCTCTGAGAGCTTGTTTTCACAGCAACAATTACATCAAGTTAGTGCATTCTAAAACTGAAACCAGGGAGTTACAAAGTAATTAGGATAACAAAATGATTGGATTAGCTGCTAATGACTTGTAACATCAACTGTTACAGCCCCACAGCATTACTAGCTTGAGCTTTAGCATCACTCCAGTCTCAAACTATACCATCCCTCTCCTACCCAAAAAGTCTTGAGCATAAACCAACCTTTGTCTACACTACAAAGTTGAGACAACTTACATTCCGTGACTGTACAGCCACCGCTGCAATTAAAGCGCTGCTGCATGTCCACACTATGCTCCTTGTGTTGGCAGAGTGCATCCACAATAGCAGCACTTGCATAGACACAGAGAGCAGTGTGGGTAGCTATGCCATTGTGCAACTGGCTTCAGGACTTTTTTGGAAAGGGTTTGCAATGATTCATGGGAACAGGGTCAGCATCACATGGTGCAGGTTTCTCATCCCATCATTCCATGGGCATTATACTAGGCTTCCAGCTGCTTCTCAGCTGCACTGACAACCTGCAAGTTTGTCATCTTTGTCAGAATGCATGGATCCTGCACTGTTCTTCAGCACTTGGCTGTGCATTATGAACACAAAGCTGTAAGAGGAGATCAATGGGAGGGTGCGAGGAAGCTTTTCACCAACACGCTGACCCCTGCCACCTCCTGGTAGAAATGGCACATCTGTGGGTCCACACCAAAAGGTGACTAGTTACCTCCCTTCCCTTCTCCTATACCTGCTGCAGCTGAGTTTTACATAGCGCTGCTATATGACACTATTGTAGCCCTTCTCCATGTCCCAAGCAAGTTTCTGTGGTTGTTAACTGACTGTACCTGCACAGCCTTGTCTCCCCTACAGATTCAAGAGATCCACCACCTCCAGGGTACTCAAGGCAGGCTGCTGCCTGAAGTGGGCATGCTCAGCTGAGCAGTTTCTATGGGAGCTCTCCACCCTGAGCAAAAAGGAAGAACAAGTTCAGAAATTCCTCAGGCTCTCACAGGTCATCAGCATTCACTTATATGCCACTGGCTTACGTCAACCTTTTTGAGCAGAATTTCACAGGCCCTCCCCTTCCCCCCGATCCACTTTTGCTAGTCCAAATTAATAGTTTTTTAATGGTTAGAACAGGGTGACGTATTCCAAAAAGAGAAAAAAAATGTAAGAAATGACTGACCAGTTCATAAGCTGACTCCAGAGGATAGTTGCAGCTTCTCAGCTTCAGCGTAGGCTGAGAAACGTGCAGACTGTAGGGCATGGAGCTACTCAGGTCCCATTGGCTGCTGTTTGCCTATACTGCTTCCTCAGCTCCTGTCCTTTCCCTCTCCTGTCCAGCCACAGAGCCAGGAGGCTCTTGTGCCAAAGGGAGCTCTGGAACTGCCAGCTCCTCAAGGGTGGAATTTCAGGAGGGTGGGGGCAAGGGCAGAAATTCGGGAGCACGGGGGGAGGGCGGGGAAAGAGGAGCAAATAGGTAGCAGCTGTGCGCTCCAGGTTGTGGCTTGGTTTTGATCCCATTACCAAGATGCTAAGGGAGTGAGGGGAAAGTGCTGGCATCCCATCCATGCCTCTCACACCAGCCTGGTATGAAAGGCATGCATGGCCTGCAAGCACTTTCTCCACACTCCCTTAGCTTCCTGAGAATGGGTTCAAAAGCAAGCTACATCCTGGCATTCACAGCTGCTGCTGCATTCCCCACTCCCCATCTGTGCGCCCGGGGCATGGTGGGAAGGATAAGACAAGTAAGGATTAGGCCCACTGCACAAGGCCTGATCCTTACTTTTAAAAATCTTCCTCAGACCCTCTGCAGCTCTCGTGGACCCCAGGGAGCACAGGCCACTGATTGGGAACCAATGACCATAAGCGATGCAGCAATACTGTGTTGCTGATACTGATACTTTGTTGCTCTATGCTGCCCTATACTCTGTGGCTCTCATCAAGGGGGTTTTCTCATCAAGGCGGTTTTCTCATCAAGGCGGTTGTATTATGTCATGTAGCAGGCGAGTTAAAGCGGCAGGAGGAATACTGTAGTGTGCACACCTAGATAGTTAGGTTGATGTAAGCTGCCTTATGCTGTCAAAACTATGTATTGTAGACATGGCCTAAGTCAAGCTAGAGATTTGTGTGTGGGGATGGGAGTAGAAGGCTAACACTGAAATTATAACTTAAGTTAATTGTACTGTAACTAACACGGCTACATTTCTATCACTATTGTGCTGTAAAGACACCCTTACTCTTCTTCCAAGTCTGAAACCGCATCTTGAAGGGGCTTCTCTTTTCTTTCACCTCATCATTTTTAAAACAGTGGAAAGCACAATCAAACAACATGTCCACTTAAAAACAAGTACCAGATTCTCTGCTGCATCTGAGCACTGCGCAGTGCATGACAGCAGGAAATCTATACCCGTTCCAGTGGGAGTTAGAACCACCTAGCACTACACTAACTTACACTTAAGGACTTCTGAGCCTTTATGCCAATGGAAGGTCAATGTGGCTGTGTGGAACCCTGCCCATATTCCTCATCTGCACCTCTTCATCCTCTCTGTGCTGGGTGTGGGAAGGGTGGCTGGCACAAAAGCCAGCTCTGCCTGCTTTATTCCAGCACAGTTCACTGCTAGCCATTCATGTGCTTCTGGTGTCAGTAGCAATAATTAGTTTGAAGTGATGAAAGAACTGGGTCTCAACAATTTGGCTACTGCAAGAAATCACAAAGTAGAAAATAATATTTACAATCTATTGCCATTCTTGTAGTTCAGCTGGGAGACAAGTTATTTGATGTCCTCACTGCTTTGTCTTTGTTCCTGTCTCACCATAGGCTGTAGTTCTGTACCATCTTCACTGTTTGGTGGGGTCTTTGGGTTTCTGTTTTTTCTCCCCTCTGTTAGCTTGGTGCTTTGATTCACAAAACTCTACAAAATAAAAATAAATGACAAGGTCATCCAAAAATTTACACTTATATTATTCAATAATCTGGTGCAACACTGAAAAGGAGGACAATTAGCATGGAGCTCTAAACCCTTCAACTAGCTGGTTCCCAGGTGGATGACACTGGAAATTAGCTCACATATAGTGCATACTCTACAAAGTCCAGTGGGATGTCTCTCTACAACAGTGGTTCCCAAACTTTTCGGCATCACGCCCCTTTTCTGATTTTTGAAAAACCCTCATGTCCTCCCCACCCAAAAAAATAGCAGCAAAACTTTGAGAAAAAGAGAGAGAGACAGAGAGAGAGAGGAAAAAGAACTGACTGGGGCAGCAAAACTTGATGGGGGGGGGGGGGAAGCTACAATGTCTTCATGCCCTCCAGTTTGGGAACCCATGCTCTACAACCTCCTTTACCGGAAAGCTTCATTTCCCTCTAGCCACAAGGACATGGCAAGTTGCATAGGGCACTAAAGCTAAAGTTGGAGAGTTTGGCAGTAGGATTAGGAAAGGGACTACAAGTTGGACCTCCCTGGACCAGCACCTTCAGAATCTGACTGGTCCTGGAGGAGGGATTTTACTGGACCAGGGGAGGTCATTTCAGGTCCCCTGATACCAGCCACCCGCCATTACATGGGCTTCTTGGCTCCCTCCTCAGCCCAGCTGAGCCGCGCACAGACTCCCTGCCCCCCCTCGCTGCCCAGATGAGCCGCACGCTGGCTCTTGGCTCCCCCCACAACCCAACTGAGCCACACACCAGCTCTCAGGCCCTCATCCCCCATACAGCACACTAAGACTCTGATCCTGGAACATGTGCCAGACCACGGGTGTTGCCGGACCAGAGAATCCCAGATTTTAGAGGTGCAATCTGTAGTTAGCAGTGCAGAGCAGTGTAGGTAGGGAATGGCTATAAATTGCCTCCTTGAGGGAAAAATTAAAAATAGACATGTTCTGAACTCAGACAAATGTGACTGACAGAAGGAAAAGACTCTCATTTGACAAAGGAAAAGTTTGGAGGGCAAGACTCCAAAAGTTCCACACTCAGGAATGTTACACTATTCATGGCAGAACTTAAGCACATGCATAGCTTTTAGCATGCAGTTTAGTGCTGTCCTAAATCAGGGCTAAAAACCAAACCACTATCTTCTTTTGTCCAAATGGTTACATTCATTATAGGGACTTGGGTATTTAAAAAAAACAAAAAACAAAAAAAAAAAACTTAATTCTGTGAACATTACAAGGAATGTAACAATGACTATTTCAAATCAGATACCATAGCATTTTTCCTGAAGAAATCCATCCAGAGCATCTGTATTGTACGGGTTTTTCTGGTTGCTGAATTTACTTTTCATGGACCAGCAACACTGTCTTTGTCATATGACATTTAAGGAAAAATGCAGACCTGGCCAGAAAGCAGCATAAAACATCTGTCTCTTAACCTTCCTCTTGATATGGAAGAGAAGGTATGTGCACATTTAAACATTCCACATGCCTTTATAACTAAAGTACTCTCTACCTTTACTAACTACTGAACATTTGTTTAAACTAAAGCTGTCTTCATAATCCTTCTGATGATTCTCCATGTAACATCAGAAGTCTGGCACAGGAATTCCCATAATATAAGTAACAAACAACAAAATGGAAAATTTGAAGGGTTTGACAGGCTGCGACACTAGTTTGGTACAAAAATTCTATTTTGCATGCATGAGAAAGACTGATAAATTTGCGAGGCATGGATGAGGCTTGTAGTACCTTCAGAGCTATCTGAACAATGGCTGAAAACTAAAAGGAATATTTCTGGGTACAAGTTAAGATACAGTACATCTACATTTCTAGTTTTAGGACTTCATGATGTAGAAGGAGACTCTGCATATTGGGTCACCAATTAATTTGTTAAATACCAATAATGTATTCAGCCTATAAGAATGGCCATACTGGGTCAGACCATAGGTCAAGTTTTCTGTCTTCTGTGCTCAAGAGAGCATGAACATAACAAGTAATCAATAAGTGATTAATTCCTTCTTGCTTATTCCCAGCTTCTGGCAAACGGAGGGTAGGGACATTACCACTCCATCCTGGCTAATAGCCATTGAGGAATTGATCCTCCAGGAATTTATCTTGTTCTTTTTTGAGCCCTGTTATACTCTTGGTCTTTACAACAGCTTCTGGCAAGGAGTTCCACAGATTGACTGTTGTGTGAAAAATCATTCCATTTCTTTTGAACTTGCTGACTATTAATTTCTTTTGGTGACCCCTTAATTCTTGTGTGATGAGGAGTAAATAACATTTTACTTTCTCCATGCCAGTCATGATTTTATAGACCTCTATCATATCCTCACTTAGTCATGTCTTTTTCAAATGGAAAAGTCCCAGTTTTATTAATCTCTACTAATGGCAGTCATTTCATGTCCCTAATAATTTTTGTTGCCCTTTTCTGAAACTTTTGCAATTCCTATATGTCTTAGAGATGGGTGAACACATCAGAATTCAGGATGTGGACATACTATGGATGTATGTAGATTAAATATGATAATTTCTAT